TTTTTGTGGATGCTCAGTTGTTAAGTTGGTCAGCCTGTATTTCTGGAAGTTTCCTTTGTTTTCCATTTCAGATATATATAAGTTGGAAATCTTGCCTGGTTCACTGGATTCCAAAGTACCTTGTGAGGAAAGAGAGCTGAATGGCCTTTAGGAGATTTGGCCAGATGTCTGTCTTCTGATTAGTAGCACTTGGGAGATCCATCCATCCATTTTGGGGCCGGATTAGAGACCAGAGAAAAGATGGAGACACGATGCCCAGCAGATGCGGGAGTTGGAAAAGACCCTCCAGTTACTCAGCCTTGGAACTGTGGCAAGAATGGAACAAGTCCTGGGGAGAAGAGCCAAGAAGAGGAAGGCAGCAGTTCAGAGGTCCAGTGTTGTCACTTCAGCAAAGTGCAGTTCCAGGAAGATAAGAGTCCCCGGGATGTTTGCAGTCGGCTTCACCAGCTTTGCCGTCGATGGCTGCAGCCAGAAAGACACACAAGGACTCAGATACTGGACTTGGTGCTCCTGAAGCAGTTCCTTTCTCTCCTTCCCCCAGAGATGGAGAAATGGGTGGGGGAGTGTGGAGCAGAGACCACTCCCCAGGCGGTGGCCCTGGCCGAAGGCTTCCTCCTGGCCCAGGAATCGGAAAAGATGCAGGTATGAGAATGTAATGATTTCAGCTCCAAGGAGAATCTCTCTGAATTTGTCAATTCCCTTTTGGCAGAGTTTTCTGGGATTAGGCCAGTTGTTCCATTTTTTCTTCCAGAGGTTGTGTTTGGGGAAATTCTTCCATTCTCTTTCTAATTTTGCAAATGGACATTTGGGTCTGCTATTTTAAAGGTCTAGTATGAAAGTTCCTTAGTGTCTTTCTTTCTTTGTCGTCTCACATCATGTCCAGAAATCCTTGGAAGCTATGACAGAATATCCCAAGAGGAGGCAAGATTCATTCAGAACTTCTCAAGAGCTGCTGTTGAGGGAGAACTTGCACAACGATCAAAGTCAAGACACCACACCAGGTAAGAAAAGCTCTTTCTGTGCGATATGAGATTTCAAAATTTAGCTGATTCTTTTGCTTCTCTTGATTGGAACGTCTGTAACAAATCTCCTTCCACCATTTTTCTCTTTCTCACAGAGAGCAAAAAGCTGTCCCTGGAATTTTTCGAACCACTTCATCTTTGTGGTGGAGCTGAAGGATTGGCTGAACCGTTGTTTCAGGTAAGGAGAAGAAACATCGGAAAAGATCCACGAATTTTGGATGGGTTTCATTTGGTTCTAGAGTTCAATGTAATAAATTGCTGCTTCTAAGTAATATGGATATGATATTAGATTCAAAATTCATATTTAGCTTATTCACATCTATCTTTCCCTTCTTAAGGGTGTTTTCCCACTTTCTCCACCATTCCTGCTTCACAGATTTATTTGACCAAACTGTTGTCAGCATTGGGGCTCTTCCTCCCCAGGTCTCCCAGGGTCATTCTCATTCACCATTACAAAATAATACTTTTTTTTGGCCTTTTGAAAAGCATCTTTGGGACAACTACGACCTAGTGATTGGGAATCTCCATAGACATATCCTGTTACAAACTATTCTGACACCTTCAGCTAGGTGTGGAGTTGGGTTACATTTGCCCCTTAGTGGATATAGTAACCCATTGACAAAAATGTCGGGTGGGTATTGCCAGTATTTGGCATTGCCCAACCTAGGAAGAACTGGAGCCACTGATAACTAGTGAATTTAAGACCCAACTACCAGTTGACCAAAAAAACTTATTTTAGTTGCCTACGCTGAAAGGCATTCCCAGTACTTCCAACATGATCCAATGTGCTTCAGTTGTGTGGTCAGTCAAAAGCAGATCTCATTCTGAATTCTTCACAAGATGCCCATCTTGGTTTTTTTAATAGATTGTTATTCTTTATAAACCACAAATACAAAAATCTCATTTCCATTGTGTCATTGTATATACATGTTTCTCATTTTGTGACTATACATTTTTATCTTTATTCTTCACCTACTTGTACCACCTCTCCCATATCGCATAATATTCTCAATTATCTTTGCCTTTTAATTTCATAGTGAATTTATCGAGTTCAGCCCAATTCATTATTTTTTGAATTAGGACTTCGTGTGGTAGTGTTTTATCGCTCTTCCAATTTTGTGCAAAAGTAATTCTTGCTGCAGTTAAGATGTGTACAATAAGATGTCTTTTATCTTTACTCAAATTCCCTTTAATCATACCTAATAAAAACGTTTCTGGTTCCAATTTCAAACTATAATTTGTAATCTCAAAAAGCCATCTCTGTACTTTCTTCCAATATTTTTTTAACCTCTACACATTGCCACCACATATGGAAAAATGTTCCTTTCTTTTGTTTGCACTTCCAGCATTCTGGTTTCATATTTGGATACATTTTTGCCAGTCGTGCCGGCATTAAGTGCCATCTTCAAAACATTTTATATTGGTTTTCTTTAAATGCTGTGGACAAGGTCAGCTTCCAATTCTCCATCCAAGTCTTTTACCACTCATCCAAATTTATGTTATAACCCACATTTTTTGCCTAAGTGATCATTGATCCTTTGACAATTTCCTCCTCTAATTCCACCTCCAGTAAATAATTATACATACGTGTTATGAATTTTACATCCTTGCCTGTCAAGATTTAGTCCAATTTTTGTAAATTTTTGTCTATTCCTAGTTCCTTTACATCTTTCTTAAATTTAGTTTGAATTTGCAAATATACCCACCAATCTAATGTTATCCCTTGTTCTTTTAGTTTGTCCAATGTTTTTAATTCCCCCTGTTCATCTACTAATTCCTTGCATCTAATATTTTTTTAATGTCCCTTGTATTTGGATATAATATAGCTTCCATAGATGAGATCCAATTTGGTCCTTTCAAATAATGTTTTTTTTATTTTCTCCCATGATTGTAATAGTGAGTCCTTTATCAGATGTCTATGAAAATAGCAGTGAATCTTGTTCTTTTTATCCCATAAGAAGGCATGCCACCCAATTTGTAGATCATGACCTTCTATTGCTAAAATTCTTTTATTTTTTAAGTTTATCCACTCCTTAACCCATAGTAAGATTGCTGCTTGCTGCCTCTGGTTCTACTATCCTGTAACGTCTTCAATTTTATTCGTGCTTTTTTCCCCATCCATATAAATTTCATTACCATCTCACCTAATTCCTGAAAAATTTTCTTATCCAATTTTATAGGTATTGTTTGAAAATAGTATAATAATTTCAGTAGTATATTCATTTTTATAGCTGCTATTTGGCCTAATAGTGATCATTGTAATTTTCCCAATTGGTCAAGTCTTTCTTTATCTGTAAAAGTAATTTCATATAATTATCCTCTTTTATGGAAGAACATCTTCCTGTTAACCAAATTCCTAGATATTTAAGTTTTTTGACACTTTGTAGTCCCAATTTCCTTTCCAATTCTTTTTTCTGACTTTCTATCATGTTTTTGGTTATTACTTTTGTTTTGTCTTTATTAATTTTTAATCCTGCTACCGCCCCATATTCTTCTAATTCTTGAATTAGATAGGCCCCTAACTCCATTGGTTCTTCAACAAAAAACACCAAATCGTCCACAAATGCCTGTACTTTATATTCTTCTTTTTTACTCTTCAGTCCAATTATCTTTCTTTGTCTGATATGATTTAAAAGCACTTCCATGGTCAAGATAAAAAGCAGAGGCGACATTGGACATCCCTGCCTAACATCTTTCATAAACTTAAAATTTTCAGCAGTCTCCCCATTTATAATTACCTTAGCTTTTTAGTTTGAATAAATTGTACCTATCATTTCCTTAAATTTATTTACAAATTCCATAGTTTTGACCTGTTGGATCAAGAACAGCTGAGATTATCGAATGCCTTCTCAGCATCTAGGAAAATCAATGCTTCCTGCTTTTCCTGCCCACTTTGTTCACTGGATCTCTCTCTTTGATTTGACATGATCTGTTAAAAGGAAAACTTGTGTCGTTGTTCAGGGTGGTATGTCTTTTGAGGAAGTGGCCGTGTATTTCTCCAAGGAGGAGTGGTCTCAACTGGATGCGGGCCAAAAAGCGCTCCACAGAGAAGTTATGCTGGAGAATTCCAGAAATCTGGCTTCTCTGAGTAAGAATCACTATCTATGTTCAGAAACATAGAAATATCATGGGGTATGAGAGCGGGGCTTAGGTGTTATTTAAAAATAGGTTTAGGGAAATAAGTGATAAAAAACCATTTATTTATATCTTGCCTTTATTTTTTTGTAAATAATAAAGGCAGTGGACAAACTCAATATTCCTTCCTCCGGCTGTTTTTCCTACAACAGCAATCCTGTGACATGGGTTGAGCTGAGAGAGATTTGCCTAAAGTAACACAGCCAGCATTCATCCCTAATGCTGAATGAGAAGTCACTGACCTAGTTTCTAGGCTGATGCAAGAGTCTGAGGGATAGGCTACAGAGATGGTGTGGCTCTCTTGAGCAAGGTCCTGCCTTCTCCTGAATCTCATCTCTAGGCCCCCGGTGGCCCTGGGCCAGTATAACCAAGACTGGATGGGTCCATGAGAAGAATGTTCCTTCCCTGAGATGTGCCCATTTGTGTTCAACATCAGCCAAATTGAGGGTGGGGAGCTATTGCCATCCAGGATTTTCCCTTGGCTTTCAAAGATTCTGCTCTGCAGATAAGTGAGGATGAGACTTCCAATGATGTTGGGGAGTGGTAGGTATGTTGTTGACCCAGCATGATACTGTGTCCAATGGACTTCAGGAGTTTGTGGCCCCATGGAATAGTCCTACATCAAAGATAAGATCAGGATGGTCTTAGATTCATTATGATATGATCCAGTCCTCTTATATGAGAATCAGTAGGGATACATTTGGAATTGGGTCCTTGCTAAAATCTTAGATTGGAATCTTCATGTTTGCCAACAAAGAAGCCAAAATATATTGATAATTCTTTGGCTGAATTTCAGAAGAAAATTTTTGATTGTTCTATTCTTTCTACCGTTTTCATTTTTCTTTTTTAAGGCTATAGTGGGCAGAAGAATAAGAATTGTAAGGAGGAAGGCCAAGCGATCCATTTGAAAGAGGGGAAAGAGAAGCGATATCAATGCATGGAATGTGGAAAGACATATATTCATACCAGTAGTCTCAATTCCCATAAGAGGATCCACACAGAAGAGAAGCCATATCAGTGCATGGAATGTGGAAAGAACTTTAGGAGGAAAAACATTCTGATTCAGCATAAAACTAGCCACACAGAAAAGAAGTTATATCAATGCATGCAATGTGGAAAGAGCTTCTCTTATTATAGCTCTCTTATAAGACATCAAAGCAATCATAAAGGAGAAAGACCTTATAAATGCATGGAGTGTGGAAAGGCCTTTACTTGCAGTAGTAATCTCAATTCCCATAAGAGGATCCACACAGGAGAGAAACCATATCAATGTATAGAATGTGGAAAGACCTTTCCTTGTAGCAGTAGTCTCCATTCCCATAAGAGGATCCACACAGGAGACAAACCATATCAATGCAAGCAGTGTGGAAAGAGCTTTACTTGCAGTAGTAGTCTCAATTCCCATAAGAAGATCCACACAGGAGAGAAACCATATCAATGCATGGAGTGTGGAAAGACTTTTACTCATAGTAGTACTCTCAATTCCCATAAGAAGATCCACACAGGAGAGAAACCATATCAGTGCATGCAGTGTGGAAAGTCCTTTCCCTGTAGCAGTCGTCTTAATTCTCATAAGAGGATCCACACAGGAGAGAAGCCATATCAGTGCATGGAGTGTGGAAAGAGCTTTACTTTCAGTAGTAGTCTCAGTTTCCATAAGAGTATCCACACAGGGGAGAAACCATATCAATGCTTGAAGTGTGGAAAGACCTTTCCCTGTAGCAGTGATCTTAATTCCCATCTGAGAATCCACACAGGAGAGAAACCATATCAATGCATCGAGTGTGGAAAGAGCTTTACTTTCAGTAGTAGTCTCAGTTCCCATAAGAGGATCCA